GGGGGGCACGGAGCCAAGTGTCAGCGCTGCAAACCAAGTGACAGGTACCGAAGAATGAAGTGAAACCGGCTTCTCGTGCTCCGTGGGCGTGCAAGGCCACCTCGCACGTCACCGGGGAATGCGCAGTGCCCTGGACCGCGCTTCGGGAGGGGGCAGGGGCGCCCCCGGAGCCGATCCCCTGCCGACATTCCTGCGCTCCCCAGGGGAGCAGAAGGCATCGCCCAGCGCATCCGTAGGGAGGTTTTGCTCGGGAACGTCAGTGTCCTGGTGTCTGGGATCGGTCATGCAAAGAGAAGGGGCTTTGTGAGCAGCCTCCCTGGCCTCTGGTGCGGGTGAGGATCCTGGCTGCCCGCAGGGCCTTAGGGAAGGCAGACGGCAGGGGCGGGGAGCGGCGCCTGCTCCCCAAGACATTCCAAAGCGACAGGCTGGGAGCAGTTCGCCGCTTGCAGAGGAGAGGCAGAGCCACAGCCACAGCCGGAAGGAAAGGTCCCAGGAGACCCCCCCCCCCCCCGTTAAAGCAGCCCCCCCCAGGGGTTTCAGGTTTGTGCTGTCTAAAGATCAGCAATAAACTAACCCCCCACCCACAGCAAACACGGAGCTGTCCATGAGGTTCCGCCGCCCCTCCCGTGACACAGTTCTGGCCTTCACTTGGCTCAGCTGCACTGCATGGCATCCCCGCGGGGCAGCATCCCCCGGCATGACTCGGAGACGGCCGGCAGGGATTTTACTCCGCTGGGCTGCCTGACTCCGGGGGAGGGATCTCAGCAAAGACCTGCCCTCCCTCTCCAATCCCAGCAGGGCCAGGCTTTGTGTTGCCCACAAGTTGAAAGGCTGTGGTGTTTGTCCTCCCCAGTCCAGCTGAAATTCACCAGGGGTGAGCACCTAACTCCCTTAGGCTCCTTTGAACACCTCCTCCCCGCCAGAGCCATTCCCCCCCAGCGGGCGGAGGAAATGGCTCCCTGGCAGTGGGTGGAGGAGGTGCACTGCCCTAAGATGGCTTGGCCTGGTTTCCTCTGACCTGGGACAGGTTGGGTTTTGGACTCAGATTGAGCGCCCACCGGCGGGCAGGGCGAATGGCGGGGGCCCGCCCGGAGGTGCTGCCCG